TTCAAAACCTTGACTGTTTTTCACATACATCACTGAGGCTGGGTTTGGACATCCTTTGGCTCACCTACATACACATGAATGAGTGTGAGTGAAAGCCCAGTGAATAATATCAAATAAAGAAAGTACAAGAATGAGATTTACATATATCAAACAGCCTTGGGCCCATTTAGTATTCTACTTCGTGTATTATTCAATACATTAGGCGATTTAGGCCCGAACATATCAAACGACCTCTAGCCCACTTTGTCCTTTGACGAACGGCCTCAAGCCCAATTCATTCACGTATATCAAACGGCCTTTGGCCCAATCATTCATGTCCAACGGCCTCCGGCCCATTCATTGGCCCATTTATTCATATCCAACGGCCTCTGGCCGATTCATTGGCCCATTCATTCATATCCAACGGCCTCTGGCCCAGTCATTGGCCCTTTCATTCATATCAGACTATCATTCGAGTCAGACTATCATTCATGTCAGACTATCATTCATGTCAAACGGTCTTCGGTCCATTCATTCTTTTATTCATAGCGGACGGCCTTAGGCCCAACCATATGGCATAGCAAACATTTGTCCACAATTCAAATCAACAAACTTATAAGACTTATTGGGAAATAAATAATTAGACAAATAACATACATCAAAATATCTTTATTAAGATATTACTCACAATGTTCTGTCGGTGGATTTGCCCTAGAGCTCGACCCTACACATTTCGTGAACACAATGGGTCACAAACAATTCAATCTGTTCTTAATTCATACATCCCTCTTAGGCTTCTTTCTTATCCTTTTAACTCATTTATGATGCTCAATGCATGCCTAAGAGTGCTTAGAAATGAAAGAGAACGGAAAATGAAATACAAAATACCTTTACAAAATTTCTGAAACAAGGGTCCCCGCTCGAGCGTGGACTTGGCTGCTCGAGCGAACCCATTAGGTCTGCAAAAGTACTGGTTACCTCATTTTTACGCTCGAGTGTGAATTCAGACGCTCGACGCTCGAGCGGAAGGTCACACTATATGGCTCCCCGCTCGAGCATGAATATCCCCGCTTATTCCCCGCTCGAGCGGACATCCATGTCTGCAAAAAGTTCTGGGAGCTCGCATTTCACGCTTGAGCGAACATGCCAAATTCTAGGTTTTCCAGAACTATTCTTGGAGTTCAATTTTGATGTTCAAAGGTTCCAAACTCATGATTTCAGTTCAAAAACATGCAAACACATCATATTACATGAGAATATAAGAGTATGACACCAAATTGTTCAAAATCATCATCTAATTCTCAAATAACCCTCATTTCTTTTGTATGGTCCAAACTAATGCACCCAAGCTTCATACCAATTTCATAACTTCATCAATTATGCATGCATGTCAATTTTTGACTTCATTTCTATTCCAAATGGTGCAAATGGTTTTCAAAATCATGAAGCTACACAAAATTACTCATGCATGTAAAGTTTGGTGCTCAATTTTTCATATTCAACATGCTTCATGCTTGAACATACAAAATGATAACAATTATGCACATGCATGTTCATACAAGCTCCAAATTCAACAAATTCAGTTCAAGTTATGTTTTTGACCACAATTGAACCTTGAATCTACATAATTACAAACTCAAACTTATGAATCCACTCACCTAGGAGCTTCAAACACCCAAATTCTAGCTAATTCTTTGAGTTTAACCTCCAATTTTCAAGCCTTGAGCCAAAATTGCACAATTCTTCTTCTTTCCCTCTCTAGCTGACCCTCTCTCTCTTTCCTTAGAGTAATCTCAGCCAAATTGAATACAAAGAGAGGTATTGAGTGAAAATGGCCCCTTTTATAGTCTCTCTCTCAATCATATTTTATTATTACTAATTAATTAAGCACTATACCATCAATTTAATCTATTTAATTTGATCTGAATCAATTTTTAATTAAATTTCACTGTAGGCTGTAGAAATCACGCCAATCACAATGGCGTAGTCAATTTTCAGTTTATAACAGTAAGTTGAATAGATATTCCTACGATGAACAGATAGAAATTCAAAACCACATATATATTCATATAAATGGCACTCAAAATCATACCAAACACATAATCACAATCACAATTAAGATTAATTAGCATAATACGAAGCAGGGTTATCACAGTTTTCCCCCTTTTAGGAAGTTTGGTCCTCCAAACTTATTTTACCTTCGTCCGGAAACAAATGTGGATAGCGTAATCGCATTTCATCCTCTTTTTCCCATGTGGCATCCGTCCCATAATGTTCTTTCCATTCCACTTTCACCATTGGGATGGACTTGCTTCTCAATTGTTTCACTTGCCGGTCAACGATTCGTTCCGGCCATTCGGCATACTTCATATTTTCATCAAGAGCTACCTGGTGATAATCAATCACATGAAATAGGTCTCGAAGATAACCCCTCAACATCGACACATGAAACACATTATGGATTTGATCGAATCTCGGTGGCAAAGTAACTCTATAAGTAACTGGACTAAGCCTTTCCAGAATTTGAAACGGCCCAATGTAACGGGGCGACAACTTACCCTTCTTTCCAAACCTGACTTGGCCTTTCATCGGAGTCACACGGATAAATACATGGTCACCAACCTTATACTCGAGAGGTCTTCTTCGAGCATCTGCAATATTCTTTTGTTGGTCCTGAGCTGCTTTGAGCCTTTGATGAATAGTTTTGATCTTCTCAGAAGTATCTTGTACAATTTCAGGCCCAAGAAGAGCTCTATCCCCGACTTCTGTCCAACAAATTGGTGATCTACGCCTTCTACCATACAAAGCCTCGTATGGTGCCATACTGATATTGGAGTGGAAGCTGTTATTGTATGCAAACTCTGCGAGTGGCAAATAATCTTCCCAACTCCTTTGAAAATCCAAGGCACACATCCTTAGCATATTTTCCAAAGTTTGTATTGTTCGTTCTGATTGTCCGTCTGTCTGTGGGTGGAATGCGGTACTAAACCTCAATTCTGTCCCCATAGCCCTTTGCAAACTTTTTCACAATCTAGACACAAATTTCGGATCTCTATCCGAGACAATAGATACTGGCACTCCGTGTAAACGAACAATTTCATCAACATATATAGTAGCCAGTCTATAAGCATCAAATGTAGTTCTAACAGGTACAAAGTGTGTAGATTTAATCAGTCTATCAACTACAACCCAAATAGAATCCATACCTCGAGGAGTCTGAGGTAGACCAACAACGAAATCCATAGTCACATACTCTCAATTCCATTCAGGAATAGGGAGAGGTTGAAGTAGACCGCCCAGTTTCTGATGTTCAGCTTTAACTTGCTGACATTGAAGGCATTTGGACACATTCTACAATTTCTTTCTTTATTTTAGGCCACCAATAGCTTGTTTCAAATCTCGATACATTTTGTTATTGCCCGCTCGAGCGGACATGCCAAATTCTGGGTTTTCCAGAACTGTTATTAGAGTTCAATTTTGATGTTCAAAGGTTCCAAACTCATGATTTCAGTTCAAAAACATGCAAACACATCATATTACATGAGAATATAAGAGTATGACACCAAATTGTTCAAAATCATCATCTAATTCTCAAATAACCCTCATTTCTTTTGTATAGTCCAAACTTATGCACCCAAGCTTCATACCAATTTCATAACTTCATCAATCATGCATGCATGTCAATTTTTGACTTCATTTCTATTCCAAATGGTGCAAATGGTGTTCAAAATCATGAAGCTACACAAAATTGCTCATGCATGTAAAGTTTGGTACTCAATTCTTCATATTCAACATGCTTCATGCTTGAACATACAAAATGATAACAATTATGCACATGCATGTTCATACAAGCTCCAAATTCAACAAATTCAGTTCAAGTTATGTTCTTGACCACACTTGAACCTTGAATCTACATAATTACAAACTCAAACTTATGAATCCACTCACCTAGGGGCTTCAAACACCCAAATTCTAGTTAATTCTTTGAGTTTAACCTCCAATTTTCAAGCCTTGAGCCAAAATTGCACAATTCTTCTTCTTGCCCTCTCTAGCCGACCCTCTCTCTCTTTCCCTAGAGTAATCTCAACCAAATTGAATACAAAGAGTGGTATTGAGTGAAAATGGCCCCTTTTATAGTCTCTCTCGCAATCTTATTTTATTATTACTAATTAATTGAGCACTATACCATCAATTTAATCTATTTAATTTGATCCGAATCAATTTTCAATTAACTTTCATCGTAGGCTCTAGAAATCACGCCAATCACAATGGCGTAGTCAATTTCGATTTTTGTGGCCGACAATGCCTTCAATTTTCAGTTTATAACAGTAAGTTGAACAGATATTCCAACGGTGAACAGATAGAAATTAAAATCACATATATATTCATATAAATGGCGCTCAAAATCATACCAAACACATAATCACAATCACAATTAAGATTAATTAGCATAATACGAAGCAAGGTTATCACAATAACAAGTTATTTGGAGCCCAATCACACAATATAATCTATAACACATTATAATATTAAAGTATCTACTAATAGTATGTTTTGTAAATTTTATGTTTACTACTTTGATTTTTTAATGATCATAAAATCCATCACCCTTAGTACACTCCTCTGATCATCATGACCATGAATCCATATAGATTTGAAACCATAGATTTGTTCCATTTCATCTAAACTTTGGTTTTTATAAGGGCTGATGAATCGTTATTATAGAAATTAGGAAATTTTTCCGTCCCTCGGTTTCTCAAACACGGAAAATTTTGAAAGCAATTTGACCCGATTGTAACACAATTTGATATTTGTGCATATGCCAATTTTTCTATTGGAAGTAAAATTCAGTAGTTAAAAACAGCAACAGCGACAACAACAACAACAACTAAAATAGTAATTTAGATACAATACAAAGAGATGGTATAAGACTGAGGGCATAGAGAAAACAAAAATTTGGTAAATTCCATGTACAATATATCTCATCAATTAAACACTGATATCCATAATTTGGTAATTTCCTATATATTCAAATTATAAACATTATAGTTCTGACACATGTTATTGCCAAAAATTGTCGTAGTTCCTTGTAGATCGCACGTGCGCTGCTCACACTTCATCTTTCCCCACCTTGCATCAACTTGCTCACAAGGGAATACCAACTTACCTAGGCCGTTGATTACAAGGACAAACGAACCACAAATTTTGACTTCACTAACTTTCCAAGGCAATAAGACATTCCAGTTTACAAAAAATTAGGGCTCTGACTAATAATTGGTCCTTGAGAACCAACACATAGGTGTTGTGGGTAAAATTGAGGGCTATGTACAAATTACAAAGCAACTTAATGGTCTTATTACCATGTAAAAGTGTTCACAATTTGCTGTCAAGTTAGGCTGTCATCAAATCTGTATGCTCAAAAAACAAGAAAATTGTACCTATTATAAACATGTATGTTACCTTCTGTTGATAACATTGTGCACATGGCATAACCATTGGAAAAACTCAGCTTGAGATCCAGCCTGCACAAGATTTGCTTTGTCAAACAACAAGTTTATTCATCAATTAGTGAAATTGTCATACACAATCTGGCAACCATACGAATATAAAAGGATTCCTTCTTGTTTGTTAGCATTTTCTTTTATTGATTTTTTTCCCTAGGCAGTTCAAGACCCAAAACCATCTTACAGAGTGAAGTATTGCAACACAAACTGGAGACTCGCACCAAAAATGATGAGGAAATATGGAATGTTTCATCTCCTAAAGTGATCAAATGTTCCATCCTAGACATGCTATAATAGCCAACAAAAAGCCACGAAAAAGGGGGGAAACAAAATAATGCACTAAATAAAGATGGAGCAATGACATATACGTCCTTAATGATCACTTTGATAATCGACTCCAACCCTTTTGCATGTTTGGATGTTCAATTCAAATTTCTTAGTCCCATTGAAGGAAACCTAAATTGATTCGACAACACTCCAAATTGTGAAGCCTTCAATTTTCCTAAATTGCTCAATTTGGATAAAACTTGGTATAGTTCTTTATGTGCAGGTGGCCAAGTGAACGACAAGTGTGTCACATATGCAAGTCTGAGGTACTATTTGTGGAGCCCAATTTAAAGCTAGGACTCATAAGTGGGCATCAAGATGGCCACATGACTATTGGTCACTTGCATTAAAAGAATTGTTTCTAAATTCTTTTCACTTTATTTTAGATAATTACAATTTTTAATGTTGTTGTAAGTGCAATAAGCCATTCACAATCATGGGCAAGAGGACAGCAGGCAGCCAAATTTTGCCCTAAAATGAGAGAGACAATGTGAGATTTCAAGTTTCTATTAGTCAATGGAAGCCTAGTAATCAAAATACGGTCAGTACAGTCGTTAAAAACATAAATGACAAGCTGCAATTAGAAGCTTGAATATCTTATTGCCACTTGCTAGGCAACAGTGTTGACCATATAGCCCTTAAGGCAGAGGCTAGCCTAAAAGAAAAGAATGTATTATTTGACACACATATTTTTATCTGTCATCTTTATATTGGCTTCTTTACATTAATTCTAAGTTTAACGCAAGAATAGAAATCGAATACCAATGTATGTGTGTATACACACCTCATAATTTCTTTATGTTGTGTTTGGATGGGGGATTTGGGGATGGATTTAGAAAGGAAAGGGGAAAAGGTGTGTGAAACTAGGTAAAATGTAGGTATATTTTATTCATATTTTACCTAACTTTTCCCTTTCCCTTTCCCTTTCCAAATCCCTCTTCAAATCCCTCAACCAAACACGACATTAATGTGATCTGCACAATCCTTGCAGGGGTACATCCAAGATAATATCTTCATCTGCATGCCAAATTGGTTCATGTCAATCACAATAGTGGCATGCACTTTTTTTTTTAAGTAGTTAATCACTATGATAGCCAATAAGGACAACTTGGGCAGTTGGGCCAAATCCGAATTCAAGTACAATTACTGATACTAAAATCTAAATTTGAATACGAACTCAAAGGATCTTAAATAAATAAATGTAGAGTAAAAATTCAAGTATCTAGAATTCAATTGGTTCCAAAAAGGATACAACAATTTTACATTTTAATCAGAATTGCTTCAATATTCAACATAAGTAAAAGATAAAAATTGCTAAAGGAAATGATGTAGGATTGTTAAGTCTTGGTTAGAACAAAGGGATGTGTGTCTTATTTATCACAAAATTTAAAAAAAAAAATGGAAAAAAAGGAAAAGAAAAAAGAATGAGATAATAAAAATTTGGTAAAGCATTATTTCAACATAAATATAATTGACAATGACTAAGAAATTCTTTGTAATGTTGGTTGAAGAAAAAAGAAAATGTTGTTTTAAAGATCAGCTATTTTGACACAGAAAGGTGTTGAGGGAGTATCATACCAGTTCTTTTATATCTTTCCTTTGCTGTCTAGTTGGATTATCTGGATACTGAATGAAACATACGCACATGGGAAATTAACATGGACACAACTTCAATGAATATGTTACATGAAATGCTAATTGAGTCATTACAATTTTGCTTAGACTTATGGATTTATCATGCACCGGAAATTTATATAGAGAACAAAAACTTAAGTCCAATGACTGCAAAATTAAAAAAAGCAACCAAAAAAATTGTGTGAGAATACTTGAGCAACCAAAGTGTGTAGAAATGTCCAGGTAGCCCTGCTAAGCTCTTCTTTGGTAGTAAGTGTGGTAGATTTTCTGTGACAACCACCTTCTTAATTAAGCAAATTAATTATATTGAATATATGTTTATTGTTAATTATGTGATTATGTGTTATGAAGTGCTATTGATTTGCCATGTGATTATTGGAATAGTGTTATGGTGGACAGATAGGTTAGAGTAAAAATTAAACCTGTTTGCTTCGTTAATTTTAACAAGTTAGAAGTAACTAATTGAATAGGAATTAGAGCCTAATTCACATTGGTAGAATTTATTTTAGTGTAATTAAGATTATAAGATGATGAGATTAATTTAATTGGGTAATTTGATTAATATTAATTAAAACTCTAATTAAGCAAAGCCAAAACAAATTATTAAGCTAACTTATATTTGTCCTTAGCTAGTCATCAAGGAGTAAGAATAAGAGAGGAATATAGTGGCCTTGCCTTGAGAGTACACGTAGAGAGAGGGAGAAAAGACTTGGTGAGAGAGCTCAACCAGAGAAAGAAGATAGGAAAAAGACAAAGTGAAAGGAAACTTGAAATCTTCACAAATTAACCAATTAAGGTAAGAAATTTCCACCAAATTTCATGGAATTGAGATTCTATACTCATGATCCTTTAGGTTTTGAGTTGAACTAGGATGAATTTCATGAGTAATTAGAGGTTTTGTTTATCATATTATGAGCTTAGAACATGCATGTTACCATATGAAAGATTTAAAGGAGTTTGATCTCAAATACAACATGCACGGCATAATTCTTAAACTTCATGATCATATATGTATTTTATTGCATGGGTTTTCAAAATTGAAAGAATTTTTTATGGGATTTGAAGATTGAAGTTCAAAGATGGAAAATTGTATGAAATTGCATGATAATTCAAGACTTGAACTCTTATATGGAAATTTAAGGTTACTTCAAAGTTGTGATTAACATTTGATATTGTAAAATAAAGTTTTGGTTGTTTACAAGAAAGTTTTGGAAGTGTTTTGCATGAAAATGAAGTTGTAATTTGCAAAGTCTGAGCTTCTAATTAAGGCAGAGTTTTCGGACAACATTTTAACCCAGACTGCTCGAGCGGCCTGGGCCACCGCTCGAGTGGCCAACCTTCATATGCTTAAAGATACAATCTGTGTAATCACTGCTCGTGCGGCCAAGGCCACCGCACGAGTGGCCAACCCTCCCTCGCAATATGCATACTGCACGCTCAAGCGCTAGTGGCCACTGCACGTGCGGCCAACAGGGCTGACTTAGTTTTTGTTTTCGCTCCACTTTTTTACCTTCTGGGCCTCCATTTGCATGGTTTTAAAGTGTTTTTATGTGCATTTGGATTCATGTTCATATCATAAGCAGGAAAGAAACTATAGCACAAATGTTATAACCAAACAGTTAATTAATAAATAGAAACCGAGTGAGAAGTAAATGAATTGAATAGATATATATATATATACCAAACTGAATAGGATTGATTAAATGGCTGAATGACATGATTGTAATTGAGTTGTGCTCGAATTTGTTTGTTTAGGTCGGACACCGCATGTTAAGCACATAAGTTAAGGAGTCCACTGTGAGTAACAATGTTGTAAAGTTATGTTCAATTATAATTATTTTCTGAATGATTAACTGTACTGCTTTCTGAAATGATATTGTTTACTGAATGAATGTTTGTCATATATTATAAACTGTACTCGTGGCATGCATAGCAACTGACTATTACTGCTACTGCTATAGTTACTGTTACTGCTACTGTTATTATTACTGTTACAGAGATCTCTATTAGTTCCAATTTCTGGAACTACTGTTTACTGTTTGATGGCCATCAATTGACTGTTCGGTCTTCTAAGACCTACTGTACTGTTCTGCTATTGGATGTATCACGAATGACTGCTATGATTACTATATGATTGATATGATATGAACTATGAGATATTGATCGACTAATTGATCTACTGATGCAATTGACTATTTTGAATACTAAAAGAGCATTCATTCTAAACCCTTTTATACAGTTGTTAATCACTGGATTTTAGCTCACAGTTTATTAAATATATGTAGGTGGTTAGGCACCGGAGCATAGTTAGCGGTGTCGACCTGAATCTATTTTGTCAAGCCAACCCAACCTATTGTGCCTCACTGCGAGGTTCCGAGTTGTTAATGTCAAGGCTTTTTGGGTGATCTAAATCCATCCTTTTTGAATGATATACGAAGTCAAGTGAATGTTTTATGATTTGTTTTGGCTTTGGGATTTAATTCCCTAACATGTCTTATTTTGTTCCTAGATGTGTTTTGGACTTATGTGAATGTTGGTATATATATCTAAGTTGTTTGTTCATATAAGTCCTCACAGCTCTTTGGACATGATGTTTTAATATTTACAGGCTTCCGTCGCCCCCTCTTATTGTTTAATTGTTATTATTGTTAAACAGGCCTTTAGTAATAACGGATTACTGGCCGGTTACGATGCTAAATCTTTAGGGGTGGGTTTAGGTTGTGACATTTTCCCTGAAGAAAAAAATGTATTAAAAACAAAAATAGAACTTGCTATTTTTCAGAGCAAAGTGGTATAGGAGCCAAAAACAAATGCAGTACGATGTTGTTTCAAGAGAAGGATCCTTGTACAATTAAGTGGTGGTCGAGTAGAGCCTCACAGGACTCCACATTTTTAGATAGTATTCCTTGTTGCAATAAATTTTATGCAGCTATTATTATTTAGACTTAATATTTAAAACAACCGAGTCTAACAATAGTTCTTTAATACTCTAAATGTATCGTTGCAGTGATAAAAACAAGAGACTTGTCAACATTAAGTCTTGATGAGTTAATGGGATCTCTCCTAACCCGCGAGATCATTATGCAAGAAGGAAAAGAAGAAGAAGACAAGAATAAGAAGAAAGTGATAGCTTTCAAGTCTACCCGAAAATCTCAAGAGGAAGAAGAAGATGCTTCGGAGGAAGATGAAGAAATGGCTTTCATTACCAAAAGGTTCAAAAAATTTGTGAAGAAGAAACAAGATGTAAGGAAGTTCTTCAGAAAAGACTTCAACAAAGATTTTCAAAAACGAGAAAATCATAAAAAAATTTGAAGTTACTTGCTACGAATGCAACAAGCCGAGACATTACAAATCAGAATGTCTAAAGCTGAAGAAACTATTCAAGAAGGATAAGAAAAAAGCTATGATCGCAGCATGGGGAGAAGACAGTGATAAGAGCGACTCAGAGACTGATATTTGCAAAAATGAAGTCGCAAATCTATGCTTGATGGCACTTGAAGATGAAAATGAGGTAAATGATGAATCATCTACTTTTGACGAATTACAAACTGCGTTTGATGAATTGCTTGCTGAATTTAAAAAACTAAGTTCGAAAAGTAACTGTCAAAAGAAAATGATTTTGAGTTTATCACAAGAAAATGAATCCTTGACTTCTAAGATCAATACTTTAGAAAATGAAGTCTTGTCAATGGAAAAGGAAAAAGAATTTTCAACTAAAAAAGAATCTTCCATTTTTGAAATGAAAATAAATGATTTGCAAAAAGAAAATGAAATTTTGAAAAAAGATAAAATTGTTTTAAATGAAAACATAGAAGATTTAAAAAATGTTCTTTCAAAATTCACTCAAAATAGAGATACCTTAGATAAAATGCTCAAAAGTCAAAGTCAAACCTTTGGAAGAATGGGGATTGGATATAAACCTTTTTCAAAAGTAAAAAATTCCAAAAAGATGTATTCATGCATCATCTAACCATTCTCATCTCACATGTCATTATTGTGGAAGAAAATGTCACATCTCTCCTTCATGTCCTACTAAGAGAAACTCATTTGTCAGAATGAAAAAGGAGTGGGTTCCCAAAAACACTTCAAATCCAAACTCTCATGGACCCAAGAAAGAATAGATACCAAAAAGCCAACAAAAATCTAATTTTTGCAAGTGTGCTTTAGGTCAAAATCTAGCAACAAACGGTGGTACCTCGATAGTGCATGCTCAAGGCACATGACTGGCGATAGAGCAATGTTCTCAACCCTTAAATCCAAAGAAGGAGGTCACATAACCTTCGGAGACAATAATAAGGGAAAGATCATCGGCGAATGTAGTATTGGTAAAACTTCCTCACCCATTATCGAAAATGTGTTGCTTGTTGAAGGATTAAAACATAACTTGTTTAGTATTGGTTAATTGTGTAATAAAGGCAATCATGTTACTTTTGAAAAATCCCACTGTACCATTAAAAATTCTGCTGATAACAAAGTGTTTTTTGTTGGTCATAGGCATGAAAATGTGTACAAATTTGATTTGCATAGTTTATCTCCTAATCATGATGTTAAGTGCTTATCTACTATAAATGAATCTGGTTGGTTATGGCATAGAAGGCTAGGACATGCTCTGTGGACTTGCTTTCAAAACTTTCAAAATTTGACTTGGTTATTGGTTTACCAAAAATTGATTTTGAAAAAGATAGACTTTGTGATGCTTGTCCACAAGGAAAACAAACAAGAGTTTCTTTCAAATCCAAAAATATTATTTTCACTTCTAGACCTCTTCAATTATTGCATATTGACTTGTTTGGACCATCTAGAACTTTAAGTCTTGGTAGTAAATCTTATTGTCTTGTTTGTGTGAATGATTATACTAGATTTACATGGGTGATTTTCTTGGCACACAAAAGTAATACTTTCTCTGCATTTTCAGCTCTTTGCAAACATATTCAAAATGTGATTAGTCTTGCTATTTGTAGCATTAGAAGTGATCACGGTTGAGAATTTGATAATGATGAGTTTATTTTATTTTGTAATGAGCATGGCATTGATCATAATTTTTTTGCTCCTCGAACTCCTTAACAAAATGGTGTGGTAGAAAGAAAAAATAGAATTCTTAAGGAAATGACTCGTACTATGCTTTGTGAAAATAATTTGCCGAGATATTTTTGAGCGAAAGCCGTCAATACAGTTTGTTATGTTATTAATCATGCCATAATTAGACCCATACTTAAGAAAGCGCCATATGAATTGTGGAAAGGTAGAAAACCCAACATTGGTCATTTTCGTGCATTTGGTTGTAAATGTTTTGTACTTAATAACAATAAAGAAAATCTTGGGAAGTTTGATGCAAAATCTGATGAAGCCGTGTTTCTTAGCTATGCAAATTCTAGTAAAGCTTATCGTGTCTTTAATAAAAGAACTTTACTCGTTGAAGTATCTATACACGTTGCTTTTGATGAATCTAACTCCTTTGCTTCCAAGAATATTGTTAGTGATGATGTTGCAAATTTTAATCTAAGAATTGAAGGCATTTACTTATCGAAAAATGATGAACTTCATTCTTCGGAACCCAATGTTGAAGTCTCTATGAAAGATCTTCAAAAGGAGTATGCCCATCCAGCGAAGGAAAATGATTTGCTCAAAGAATGGAAGTATGCTTATGGATATTCCAAAGATCTCATTATAGGAAATTTCGCACAAGTGTAAAAACACATTCTTTTAGTTATAATGTTTGTGGCAATTTAGCTTTTGTTTCTCAAATTGAGCCAAAAACTTTTTCTGAGGCTGAACACGATGAAAACTAGGTTTTTGCTATGCAAGAAGAGTTAAATCAATTTGAAAGAAATGAAGTTTGGTTTTTGACTCCTCGTCCTAAGGATCATTCAGTCATTGGAACAAAATGGGTTTTTCGAAACAAAATGGATGAATCCGATGTTGTTATTCGAAACAAAACTAGACTTATAGTCCAAGGTTATAACCCAAAAGAGGGCATTGATTTTGATAAAACATCTGCACCCGTTGCTCGTCTTGAAGCCATTAGCATGTTGCTTGCATTTGTTTGTTTTAGAGATTTTAAACTTTACCAAATGGATGTGAAAAGTGCTTTTCTAAATAGTTACATTTCAAAGGAAGTTTGTGTTGAACAACCTTCTGATTTTGAAAATCACAAACACCTGGATCATGTTTTTAAACTTTCAAAAGCTTTGTATGATTTGAAACAAGTACCTAGAGATGGGTATAAACACTTAAGCAATTTTCTTATTGAAAAATGTTTTTCTCGCGGGAAAATTGATACCACTCTTTTTATAAAAATAAAAAATGATGATAAACTTATTGTTCAAAAATCATATTCGATGCTACTAAAGAATTTTTGTGTGAGGAATTCGCTAAGGATATGCAGGGAGAATTTGAAATGAGTATGATGGGAGAGTTGACATACTTTCTCAGATTACAAATAAAACAAACCCAAGATGGTATCCATTTATCTCAAGCCAAATATATCAAGAATCTCCTCAAAAGATTTGAAATGGACTTATCCAAACTTGCAGCAACTCCCATGAGCACATCAATTAAAACCGACAAAGATGAGCAGGGTAAACCGCTAGACGAAAAGAAATATCAAGGTATGATTGGTTCCTTACTCTATCTAACTGCTAATAGACCTTATATCATGTTTAGTTTTTGTATGTATGCATATTTTTAATTAGCTCCAAAAGAATCTCACGTCACCACAGTAAAACGCATTTTTAGATATCTTGTTGGTACTTCACTTTTCGGTCTTTGGTTCCCTAAAACAAATGTTTTTGACCTTTATGGTTACTTGGATGCCGACTTTGTGGGATGTAGACTTGACCAAAAAGCACTAGTGGTACTTGTCATTTTCTTGAAAATTCACTCACTTCATGGTTTTGCAAAAAATAAAATTCTGTTGCTTTATCAACCACTGAAGTGAAATATATTGTTGTTTCTAGTTGTTGTGCTCAAATGCTTTGGATAAAACAACAACTTCTTGATTTTGGACTTCACTTTGATCACATTCTTATTAAATGCGATAACACTAGTACCATTAATCTTTCAAAAAATCCTATATAGCACTTGTCACGCCCCCAAACCGCCCCTAGTAGTTTGGTGCCGTGATGGCCAGTAATCCGAGATTACCGAAGGCCGACTTACAAGAATCACACACAATCAGAGTAAGAAATATGGGGCTTACAAGTGCGGAAGCTACATATACACATATACAGAATCTAATAGTCCATGAGAGCCGTGCTTAAGTCCAATGAAATGACATACATCTTTATAAAGTCTTACAACTTAAATACAAGAAGGAAATGAAATACAAAACACATCTTGACCAAAAGGCTTCTCAAGCCGACATATACAAGTACAAATGAAAAATAAGCCGAGAAGCATGATCTTCAAGATGGTACAAAAAATGCTATTCCAAAACATGTCGGCAATGCACCCAAAAAAACACATCGGCATCACGTCTAGGCCTCAATGCCTTCTTGTTCGTCTCCTACATATATATAGAGAGGGTGAGCTTGGATACTCAGTGAATGATATTAGAAATAAAGGTTTTGCATGATTGATATCCAAGATTTCCGCCCTATAAATGGATGTAACAATCATATTTCTCCCAGATGGAGTAGACACAGATAATACATAATCAAGGGGTTCTAATTCTCTATCCAACTTCTCGGCGAATATAGTGGACACAAATGAATGCGTAGAACCCGAAT